CAATTTCCCTAAGTTTCTTAATTACCAGTTGATTCTAAATATAAAGTCTCAAAATCAGCTTCTGTCTGGAGGAAATAACAGCATCTGTGCATTCACAAAGGAAACGTACTCTGATGTCTGCTGTTGACAAGCCACTTACATGCAAGCATTGTGATTTTTCTCTGTCTCTTCCTTCATCAAGTCCCAATTTCCTGTTACAATCTGGGACTGAATTGATTACATTTTCCCCCATTTGAGTTTATAAACATGCTGTAAACAGGTGAAACAAATCACTTAGGATGATTAAAGGCTTCCAACTCTATCTCCAAAGGGGCATTTGTAGGATCCAATTTTGAACATCATTTTGTTCTAATAACATCTTATGTATTTTTGCCACAATTTTCTAAATTATGTGTTAAAGAAGAAAGATTTTTCTAACTGTATTAGTCAGTATCTGTTGTTCTACAAAAAGATAAATTGGGGGGGGGGTTATCTTTTCTACTGTTAGGACCATCATTCACAAACTTCAGAAACTTTTATAGTATGTACTAGCTATTTGTCTCTTGTTACTTGCAAACTGTAACAGAGCTACATGATTATGTTGTCATTATAACCACTGACTTAAAGACTTTATCAATGTTATTCCAAAGTCTCTTTTATCATTTTAGAGAAAACAGATTTTCTTGATTTGATGAACCCAAGAAACAAGTACCAAACAGTAAATTGTAGACTCTAAAGAAACAGAGCAGTTCAGAAGGGAACTAGTTCTCACTCCAGCAGATAAGAAGAGCGGTGCAGCAAGCACACCATGATGCACTGGTCATTATATCATGCAGCCTGACTGATTTCTCATTAAGTTCAGTGGAAAGACTCCTGCTGACTTCAATAGTAATTTGTTAGGGACAAAGACTAACACAAGCCAAAGCTGGAAGAAAAGTAATGACAGTGGGATATTTTATGGTCACAACAAACAAAATCACATGCTAAAAATTCTAATGATGAAACTAAAGTGCTACCTAAAAACGTTTTAGAGTCATACAAAGAAGAATGTGGTATTGAACAACCCACATTCTTCAAAGTGTTGGCTTGTCTCTACCTGCACATATTCCCATCCCTACATCTCTAAATGTGCATATTGCATCTTATAATTATCTTCCAAGTATGAATGTTTATGTTGGGTAGGGTAATAATGATTTCTGCTTGTGATAAATTAGCGTAATGAGTTAATTCCTTTCAGCAATGTGTATTTTACATTCAGTATCCCTGCTTTATGGAGTGGAACAAGCTATCTATGTCATTACCAGCAGCTCCCACCGGAGTAAGAAAGCATTAGAAGTCTGGTCTTTAAATCAAGTGCAAGTTCAGAGCCCTTTATTCAGCAGGGTGTCCCACTGCTCCAGCCTGGTGGAAGGGCTGAACAGTAGATGTCCAAAGGCTGCAAAGCAAATTGGCACAGCACCCCACTGAAGAAATGTTTGTGCGGCTACAATCATTTTTCAGTGGTATTACAACCCTTCAGTTGCTTTTAGCCACTAGAAATCCTTCTTCAGCTCAAATGCCTACCATCTTTTGCTGTCTTTAGAGATGAGGTGTGGAGAGGTCCAAGGTATGTGTATAAATATCACAGAACATGGCAGACCTCGGTAGGTCTCTGCACTTGTCACTGTCTTCAGAAGGACTGCCTAATTTTGGGCACCACAATATAAAAAAGACATCAAGCTATTAGAGAGCATTCATAGGATGGCCACAAGGATGATTAAAGGTCTGGAGGGAAAGCGTTATGAGGGGCAGCTGTAGTCACTTGGTCTGTTCAGCCTGGACAAGAGGAGACTGAGGGGAGACCTCATCACCGTCTTCCACATCCTCACAAGGGGAAGCAGAGGGGCAGGCGCTTTTCTCTCTCATGATCAGTGGCAGGACTCAAGGAAATGGCATGAAGTGGAGTCAGGGGAGGTTTAGTTTGGATATCAGGGAAAGATTTTTCACCCAGAGGGCAGTTGGGCACTGGAACAGGCTCCCCAGGGAAGTGGTCACAGCACCAAGGCTGTGAGTTCAAGAATTATTTGGAGAATGCTCTCAGGTACACGGTGCGACTCTTGGGGATGTCCTGGACAGGACTAAAAGTTGTACTCGATGATCCTGATTGGCCCCTTCCAGCTTGGGATATTCTATGACTCCATGATGAAGTTCAGACCATTTCAAAGAACAGCGGAGAAGCAGACAGTCATTAAGACAGATGACATCAGAGCATAGAGAAGTCCTGCTGTTCCCCCTACATACAGTTTATGGTTGGCTGATCACAGAGAGAATAACTCTTTGGGAGTTCTCTCCCATAAAGCTGCAGAGACAGAAGGGCTCACCACCACAGAGTTCCACTGTCATACCATTTTGTTTTTATACCAGTTCTACCTACCTTGGAATCTCTGGTACAATAGGGTTGATTTTTGTCATAGGTCTTTTGCCATTTCATCACTCCAGTTCCCTTTCTTATTCTCTCCTCTCTCAACATAATTTCTATATGCTGTTATTCTACAATTCTCTTTTCTCATTTTTCTCATTTCACTTCTATTTTTGCATTCAGCAAACTGTTCCCCAGTCTCAGTTCTTTTGCTTTTGCTCTAGATCCCATATCTCATTGTTCTCCCTTTCATTCCTGGCCTCCTCAGATGCTCATCTTTTTTCTACACCACGTTCAGCACCATTCAGTGCACAATGCAGACAGCATATCTACTCCTTGTAACTGTCACTTTGCCATCCATAACACATGTAATGATACCAAACAGAGTAAAAAAGTGAGCCCTAATGACAGAGCTACACCATGGGTAATTGTAATACATAAGGGCAATATTCTGCATCATACATTATCCCATATCTAGACTCCTCACCTTATTGATTTTTTGAGCAACACCTAAGAATGGAACCTCTAGCCTGTGTTAGCAGAAATTCTCATTGCTGACAGAAACACTCTAGCTGAATGGACAGAGATCAAAGGCAAGGGTCAACTGAAAAATTAGCTACTGCTACTTCAGGTTGAGGCTAAAGAGATAGACAACTTACCGCCCTTAGGTACTTGTAATGGCATTTCCAGCAAACAAAATTATAGGTAGAAGTAGCTGTGTCTCCTTTCAAATGACAGCTAACAGCACAGAAAGGACTTAGTTCTTTTTGGGGCTTCTCTTGGCTACAGAAATCTACATCCAGAGACAGTTCAAGTACAGAGGTGGTTTTTAACCTGCATCTCAGAGTCATTGCACGTTTTCTACTACCCTTAGTTGTGGCAATGATGGCTTCTCTAAGAAAATGCTACCAAATTGATATGACAAATCTGAGTGAGTGTAACAATTGCAGTTATAAAGCAATATCTCACTATGTTAATTAAGCAATTTTGCTTCTAAGAAAAGCCACCTAGAGAACAAGTTAGATACTTCATTGTAATTGCTAGTGTACTGGCAAGGTAGAATAACTTAGATTTGTTATCAAAGGCTCTGTAATAGAGGGCTGTCAATATTCTGTTCAGCTAAACCTAGCCTGCACAAAGGTATTATTGAGGCAATGGTCAAGGTTCCTCCACTTCCTTCCCATCTGGTTTGTTAGAATGACTATCTGCTACATTTTTGTAATCAATCTTGTGCAAAAGCCAGGTTGTTCGCTTATCACTCAAATTCGAACTAGAAAGATAAATAGCCTGCTTTTCATCTGATCCTTGTCCTCTGACTTACGGTACTCAGCCAATTGTTAAAATTTCCATCACTACAGAGATGTGAGTCATTTCACACAAACAATCCATGTCTTTAAAGGGCAGACAGCAGACAGGGAGATAAAACATTTTATCTCCCTGAATTTTATCTTAGGCAGCACAAATTACTGCTGGTATCTATTGGGATTAAGAATAATATAACTGGGAATAAGAATAATGTGATTGTAATAGAAATCTGACAATAGTGCATGAAATAATGGCAATATACAATCTGAAGAAAACTAGTAACTGAAGGAATAATTCCAGGCTAGAAGGAGATGCCTCAAGAGTCCCACAAGCATGTGAAAATGATGATTTGTTTATGTTTATCACCTACTACAGGTAAAGATCATCAAGCATTTGGATGTACCTGGCAGTCCACACAAAAGCCAGCTCAATTTCAAAGACAGGGCTCATGACTACAAACTTCAGTTCATTACCACGTTGTACTTACTCTTTGGAGGGGAAGGGAGCTAGGTGGCAGTGGGCTACAATCCAATTGATGTATATTTTCATGAGAATTTCTGGTCTCTCAGGACAAGACACCCAGCACTCAAATAAAACTATTTAATAACTAGTATGTAATACCAAAAGCACCAGTTTAGATGGAAAAAAAAAGAAGGCAGGTAAAGGAGAGGGTAACTAATTACCCTGTGAGGAAAAAATATCTAAGTGCAGTAAAAAACATAAGAAATATATAAGCTTGAAATTCTAGGTATGGATGCTGGATTTATCACATATTTTATAGTTAACTATAAACAGTTACCTTCACTAAAACAAACATCTGTTCCATAATTACCCATCTCTCAAGTATAAAATTCCAAAAAGTAGAAATATCTTGAATGAAATCTGTGTGCCATAGCAGGTAAACATGGATGCAAAAGATTCTTGCACCAATTCTTATCAGGATCATTATCCTACGAATATTATCGTTATTGTCTTGTGGCTAATGTCTGTACCTAAAAATCTTGGGCAAGTGTGCCAAGAACCTACATGTGTACTGTAACAATTAGGATATGTGTCTTTGCAAAATAGTTGCTCTACTGATATATATATGATTAAAAGGGTGTCCCATTGCTGCAAAATAATATTCAATGAACCTTCTTCTCCTTCCAGCACTGCCTTCACTGGAGCTGAACCACCCAAAGACCACAGTGCAATCAGAACTCCGGGAAGACAAATATCTCTGCTTTTATCCTTCACTTTAATCCTAAGCTTTGGCTCATTCTAGATATATATGAATCTCTGAAGATTTCTTACACAGAGGTTTTTGCTTTTTTTACAGATACATGGCCATTATTGATCCCTTGAAACCTAGGCTCTCTGCAACTGCTACCAAGGTGGTCATTGGGAGCATATGGATTTTGGCTTTCCTGTTGGCCTTTCCCCAGTGCCTATACTCCATAACCAAGGTGATGCCTGGGAGAACTCTTTGCTATGTAGCATGGCCAGGTGGTCCAAAACAGCATTTTACGTAAGCTTTTGTTCTTTTAAACTTGTGCATGGTGGTGTCTAGACTTGCAATTGGCTTGGCATAATCTGTGTAGTATCATTCAGACACTCTACATGCAGAATAACTAAGTGTTGGTCACTGAGAAGTGTAAAGCCAGTTTTCTAAGCAAGGAAAATAGAGCGTTATGAGTGATAAGTGGAACACATTTTTTCTCATCCACTTTTATGAGTGCGCTCCACCTCACGCTGCATATTTAGCATCATTGTTCCACTTAAGATGGCTACTTCTATACAGATAGAGATGGTCAGAAATGGGAACATAATTCCAAGCAAGCTTCCTTTTTATCCTAACCGGAAAAAAAATATTTCTATTATCTCCTTAGAATCATTTAGGTTGGAAAAAACCTCTAAGACCATCAAGTCCAACCATTAACCTTAGACTACCAAGTCTACCACTAGACCATGTCCCTAAGTGCCACATCTACATATTTTTTAAATACATCTAAGGATAGTGAATCAATCGCTTCTCTAGGCAGCCCATTCTAATGCTTGATAACCCTTTTCATGAAGAAATTTTTCCTAATATCCAATCTAAATCTCCCCTGGCACAACTTGAGGCCATTTCCTTTTTTGTTACTAGGGAAAAGAGACCAACACCCATCTCACTACAATTTCCTTTCAGATGATAGTAAAGAATGAGAGGTCCCCAGTCAGGTTTTTTTTCTAGATCTCTTCATGAGAGGGCTGGATTTTCTCACTTACCTTCCACATTATTACCTATGTCAGATATCAGTCCAAAAGAGAAAACTGGATAACTTATAATTGGTTCCAGCTTCTGAAAGTGAGAATACCAGTCAATTAAATTCAAAATATCCTGTTTGTCCCTCTGGCAGAATTAGGAATAAGTGGCTACCTAGCCATCTCTCCTTTAATGTTTTCATTGACATTTAAAATGAACATTGTGTTCAAGGCTGAAAGCCTGTGTAACTATCTAGAATCAAATTTGACCTTTTGCTCTCTTTGAGGCAGGTGAAAGAGGCCCCAGTCATATGTAATTTTCATCACTTTAGGAGCCATACACAGACATTTCTCTTTAGGGTAGTAAGGTCACTCTCAGTGACAGCTGGGGATTCTTCACTGATCATTCACAGGGATTTTATCTGAAGTTGGCATTTAACCAGGAACTAACAGGAGGCAAAAGAAATTATGTTTGTTTTCCCAGTGCTTACATCAGCAGTGATGACTATATTGCACGTAGGCTACAGACCTGCGCTGCCGATGTGCAATAGACGTGCCATATGAAGAATGGCAGGAAACAGGACACATATCAGGGCCTTTGTATCAATATACCATTAAAATCCTTATTTTCCTCTTTCATTTATGGTCCAGATTAGAGCTCCAAATGCCTAGCTTGCCCTCATGATGCTTGGCTGTGCAGCAATTAAATCAACTCAGCTAGTTATGGACAACTATACCTTACTCAGCAGTCACTAGTCCTGATAGAGTCATTCTTAATGTGTGCTAGTGCAGGTTCAGCATTAGACACCCCATAAAGCACTTGCATCAAATGTAAATAAATTTGCAGTGCAGTTCAAGTCTTCCAAAATGACAGTGAAAACACCAAGGACTAGCCAGTCAATATAAAAGATGCTTTGTGCTAAAAGTAGCATTCTTGACCTCTAGCAGCCCATTCCATTGGTATAGCTCCTTCGAAAGCACTTATCACCTTAATACTTTTTCATTGCAGGTATCATATCATTGTGATTGTGCTGGTCTACTGCTTTCCACTGCTTGTCATGGGCGTCACTTATTCCATGGTGGGAATTACCCTCTGGGGAGGAGAAATACCAGGTGACACATCCAACAAATATCATGAGCAGCTCAAAGCTAAAAGAAAGGTACTGTTCTGATAAATCCCACTAAGTGAATCCTGATAAAATCATCTGCAATTGTGTTGCTGAGAATCACAGTTTATTCCTTCAGAAATACCAAATACTTGAAACAGCATTAATGAGGGATCTGCTGCAATACAAAATCTGATTAAATTTGACAAGTTATCTTCTATCTTCACTAGCTGTTCTTTTTGTAACTTTGCTGTTTGTCACTAAACAAAGGTAGCATTTGGGTTTTAACTTCTTAATCTCCATGTAGCAGCATATGCTGTGTCTGCTATGTGGAAACTAGGACAAAATGCTTAGCCTTTCACAGAGTTAAAATACTCTGAGTTTTGAACAATGGGCTAGCAAACCATTAGGTCCTCTTAGGTCAGATTCTTATCCTGCTGAAACAAAAGTGAATCTTGATGTTAATCAGTAGATTAAGGCCCATACATATTTGAGACAGGCACTGATCAGCCTGTTTATAACGAATAAATTAAATTTTTAGTCAGTAACTTTTTGTGGGAAATACAAGCTAATTTTCCCAGTTATTTTCTTTAACCCCTTTCACTGTAAGTATTGCCTAATCTAACTAGACTGTGGATTGCTTATGAATTGAGTATTTGACTATCTCCAGTTTTCATCATGTTGCAGTGCCATTAAGGTTTCTTTCTTATAATATTCTTTTTCTTAACCTAACTTTTCTTATTTAATAAGGCAGCCTTCTGCTTTTTATTTCTGACCTCTTTTTTTTATACTAAAGTGTATTTAACCTTTCGAATTTGAAAAAAGGATACCCAAACATGGGCTTCTAACTCACAATGATGAGCACATTTTTGGTTGCTCAGTTGTTTCAGTTTGCTTCCTGATGCTGTGAGTATGTCTGAACTGTGGTAAATGCTCCTGTGCTGTAGCAATAGCAGAGTGGGGCATATTGAGTCCTGAGACAACAGGAGATCTTCTGCAAATTGTGGAGAACACTGATGTTTCCATTTCTTTTAGGACACTGCCAGGAATATGAAAGTGGTTTTTTCCCCTAACATACAACACAGTAAAAGTTGTTATGGCAGACAATACATGAAAAGAAAGGTTAGGATAATTTTCTCCATCATACGTCTTCAGACCCACGAAAGTGTAAAGTTGTCAGAAGTTTCAGTTGCCAGAATAGTAGACATGCCTAGACAGCTTTATGGCATGATGTACAATGCCTCCTGTGGAACCAGAAGTGTTATTTATTTTTGTTTTAACATAGCTTTTTTAAGAGGGAAAAATGCTAACCTCTCTTGAGGAACCAGAATGCAGTTTGACCAGTGTTATCACTACTATTGACTTGTAACAGCTCAAAGATTATTGGAATCCAAACAGAGAGAAAATCATGAAAAATAATCATGAAAAACTAAGAAGTATGCTTTGCATATTTGGCCCAAGGCAAAATTATTGGACTAATTTCCACAAATGCTGAAAGAATATCAAAATATCAGCATTTCACTCTTTGACATTACCCAAGAAGTTCAATACTATCATTACAATCTTTGCCATGCATGTTGTCACTTACCCAAAAATGTATTTTCAAAGTTATGAAGTTACCTTCACAACAGAACATAAGGAGAAAAATATTTCACTGGTCAATTAACCGTGCTATCACCAATGTTGCCCTTTCAGACATTGAAAAAAAAAAGGAAGCAAATACTCAGTGTGTGGTGACCAGGTTCTAATTGTAAAGACAAACCAAGGAATCACTTTCTGTAATAAGACACAATTTGCAAAAGCAAGTGTGAAAAGAAAATTATTAAAAGCTAGCTTGGAGAAACAGGACATCCCAGAATTCAGCACTTGTTACCATAATGACGAAGTAAAATAATCATGACATAAAAACTAGAGGTCTCTGAAGGGAAATCTAGTGCTTAATATATGATATAAAGGGTCCAATTAAATCCCTGGAATACTTTAAAAACAGCATCTCTTTAGAATTCTAAATATATGCAGGAGACAAGGTGTAGCATCCTTAATTAAAGGATTTTAAATGTGAGAGTACAGGAATGCATACCTTCAACACATGCAACAAGGGATTTAAAATATGTGCAGGTATATAATAACTGCATCAGTGACTTTATTGGTAGAGCTCCATGATGGCACTTTAGCTACACTGCTGTGCTCTCCAGCAGGATTTATGAAGTAACTGGTATTTGGAAAGATGAATCATAATTGGTCATTCATGGAGAGGAACTAACAGACTGGAATCCAAATAAAGACATAACTTATTCTTCTCCAATAACAGAACTAGTGCTTTGCCTTTTTCAGAAATCATCTGTTTTTCCTGCTGTTTCCTTTTTTATTTTTTTACCACATATGAATAAATGACATGAAAACATATTAATATGTATTTTAGTACTACATTGTACCAACTAAGAAAAGCACTTGTTAGAAATAATGATACTTTTGCTGGCACTAAAAGTTAGTTGACAAGGTCAGGATGAAAAAAAGAAAAATATAAAGAAAAAAAAGAAAAAATTAAAAAAGGGAAAAGAAAAAAAATGAAGAGAGACAAAGCCCAAAACATTACAGTGCAGCATCAAAACTCTTGGAATACTGAATTATGAACTGACATAGATCTGGAAAAATGAGACCATACTCAAATTATAAAGCTTACTCATCATAAGTTGGTGGTGAGAATATTACACTATGAACTTACATCACATGATAAGCAATAAGTACTTCTGAAATCAAAGATCCTTATTGTTAACAAGGAACCACTAAGTCTAGACAAACAGGCTACTTTGATATTGCCCCATTCATAAAACCTTATGCAAAAGTTTGCATCCAGCCTTATGAAACAAAATGTTTTGACACTCTGAGTCCAAGTGTTTGTTTTGCACATGACTTCTCACACCTCTTAAAACTGCAATTTTATCCTAGACATTTGTTCAGACTTCTTCAAGGTTGGAAAATAATTGCTATCTCAGGGGACTGCATAAAGACATGGAAAGTTTAATATCCTTCTGGTTATTTCAGCAATCCATCTTATCCTAGTTTTTCCTAGCATGAGGACCAGCATTCCAATCTCCCATAACTGATATGTTATATTCCATTTTCAAAATGGCATAAGGGAGTCAAAGTTTAGTATAGCAGAAAGTCAATAGAACTTGATTATCCTCAATTCCATTAAAAACACCAGCTGCAATCAACTACTCTACACAGATTTCTGCTACAGACTTCAAGGGATAGCCAAATCTTCAGAGCTCATGCCCTCGTCTATACTGAATCATCACCTGTCAATGGGTTTTAAAAGTCAGACAGTAACAAACACACAAATTTTTTGCCTTTATTCAAGTAATGATCTACCAAGCCTGCCCATATGTCAAAAAATTCACTTCTCCATGTTAGGTATGCAAAGAGAACCAAATCCTAGAACACAAAATATGCAGGGGGAAGGCATCTGGTTACATCTCATCCAAACTGGCCACACAACAGCAGACTGTGGAAGAGAATTATATTGCCATTGTGCCTTTCCCACCATTTATTTACTCACAGGCCATGAGTGTTTCCACCTTGTAGATTCATTTGTGCTCGTGCATCATGGACAGAAATGACTGCCATGGTGGTGTAGAAGGACTTTGCTTACTTACTGAGAAGGTTCCCACTCCAGAGCAGTGCAAACATACACAAAGAGGCACCTGCACTTCCCCAGGGAAGGTACCTCTTCCCTTTGGCTGATTTTAAATTTCTGGGACTGATAAGTGAAACAACCTACTCATTCTATCATGGGGTAATGAGGGGAAGAAACTCAATTTGCTATGAATATTATAAACTCCTGCCAAAAATAGCTGCCTGGGTAATTTTTTGGTCCATCAGTAATCATCATCTGTAAATGGGTCTACTCTTTGACTTTGCAGCAATTGACAATGAAAATAACATGCAGAATAGAATACATAAATACTAGGAGAGAAACAACAGAGAAGATTAGGCTAGAGAATTAAACATTCTGTTAAGAACAGTTGGTGTCCTAACAGACATAGCCCTATTGCTTATATTATATTGTGTGGGTGGCTGTATCTCTTGACTATCTGAAATTTCACACAGATACAGTTTAATTATCATTTATCCAAAACGACGATGCATTGTGAACACCTTGTAGGCCAAAGCTTTATTGTGATTGAAAACCACAGGTGTACTTCAGTGCAGCCACTCATAAATGTAGCAAGCATTGTTCAGCACATTCAAAAAGTGAAAAGTCTAAGCAATATCAGATTGAAGGACAGCTTACCTCAGCTAGCACCAGTTCTGAACACTCCACTGCTTTGTTGTAAATCAACAACCAAAAGAAACAGAGACACTTTTTAATGATTCCAGTCTTTACACGGAAATGTCCATTGATAATTCCTCAGGCAGCTGTGTGACAAAAATACCATGCAAAGTGGCAGCTTTTTATGCTCATACAATGTCTTTCCTCTACATGAAGTACAAAGAATTGAACTAAATGTTTCTGAAGTGATTAGTCTGACTTTATGATTTTATACTCATTAGTCAGTCTCCTCTGAGGTTATACTTGCATAGTATCTTAGACTTCAGGAAACTATCCTAGAAATTGAATCCTTTTGAAGATTTTCAAAGCAATGAGACATGGCAAGTTTTAAATATCAGATTTATCTGTGGTTGCATTTGACATGTGTCATATATCTTGCTTAAAGTAAATTAAAAACAACCCAGGAGAAGGAATTCTCAGACGCTTTTAAAGGCTCTTCTGAAAGCAAACTCATCCCTTGTTTGCCAGACGCTGTAAGATGTTGAACTGTGTCCAGTACTTTCTCTGCTTAGTCCTCGAGTGTCATTTTATCTCTTTCAATATTAAAATGTTAAATGAAAACAGGACAGGAACCAGCCTCGGGTTCTGTCACTACAGGCAGCCCTAGCAGAATTCCTCTGATATCATCTTAAACCTCTATATTTAAACCATTTTGCCTTCTGGATTGCTATATTTAATGGGAAGTGTTCTAAAAAATCTCACCAATCCTAGAGTTCCA